TTAAACAACGAAAAAGTATTTTTTTTAACAACTGAAAGTTTTTAAATGTTTTTAAAACAATTGGAAAGGTGTTTAGTTTAATTTTTTTGAAACAACTGAAATGGTTTCAAATCAAAATATTTAAAGCAACCGAAAATAAATAATTTAAATACTTAAAAAATATATAAAAAGTTGTTACTTAAACTAATAGAAGCAGCTGAAAAAGTATACAAAATAAAGCAATCAATCGAAGAGAGGGATGAGAATTTAATTTAAAATGTAATTCTCATTCATACAATATTTTTTTAATCTGTCGAGTCTTGACAGAACTAGTCATCACGTGGTAGGTGTACGACTGATGTAAGTGTACGACTGACGTAAGTGTATGATGTAAGTGGCGATAAATAAACGGTGAACAAAGATAATGAAATGTGAACTAATTAAAACCCCTTAAGCGAGTTATTGTCTACAGAAGAACTCAGCCGAACCAAACAAACACTAAAGTAATCAGAGCTTTTAAAATATACGCAATTCGTTTTTGAATTCTTTAAAAATAAATTCTTCATTGATACTTTCATTACACCATTATCTATTTTAATGTTTGAATTTTTTATGTTTGACATTTACCGTAAGATGATGTCTGACACCAATCATATGATGTGTGGCATCAATAGTAAGATGATATGTGACATCAATAGTAAGATGTGTGACATCAATAGTAAGATGTGTGACGTAATGTTATTCTACCGCTATTGTCGTTTCGACTCAAACACAGCAACAAATATATATTCAAAAACACAACAAGCAATATACATGTATTACAAACAGCAAACAATATACATGTATTACAAACAGCAAACAATATACATGTATTACAAACAGCAAACAATATACATGTATTACAAACATCAAACAATATACATGTATTACAAACATCAAACAATATACATGTATTACAAACATCAAACAATATACATGTATTACAAACATCAAACAATATACATGTATTACAAACATCAAACAATATACATGTATTACAAACATCAAACAATATACATGTATTACAAACATCAAACAATATACATGTATTACAAACATCAAACAATATACATGTATTACAAACATCAAACAATATACATGTATTACAAACATAAAACAATATACATGTATTACAAACATCAAACAATATACATGTATTACAAACATCAAACAATATACATGTATTACAAACATAAAACAATATACATGTATTACAAACATCAAACAATATACATGTATTACAAACATCAAACAATATACATGTATTACAAACATCAAACAATATACATGTATTACAAACATAAAACAATATACATGTATTACAAACATAAAACAATATACATGTATTACAAACATAAAACAATATACATGTATTACAAACATAAAACAATATATACATAACCAACAAACACAAGAAACAACAAATTTACCTCATGCGACACGTCTAAACAAGCATGAAACATGAACTACTTAATTAATTAATACCAATCAAACAAAATACGCTCGATAAAATAACAAATGAGTTTTGTGGTTCATTAAATAAAAATACAATAAGCATCGTTTTAATGATCGTTAATCCTATGATATGAGCTTAACTCAATCTACTGCTTAAAACTTACTGAAACTTAATTTTTTTAATCTAAGTTAGCCTAACGCTTAAAACCAAATTTAGCGTAACTTAAAAATTAAATTATCCTAATGCTAGAAATAATGAGCCTAATCCTACAAAACCTTCAAGTTTAAAACCTGCTAGATCTAGATCTATGACCTAATTCATCAAGCCGACTCCACCAAAACTGACCGGAAACAGAGTTTGACCAGAGGGGTCAAGACACGATATTTGGGCGGAGCTTTATTCACGTTTAGCTCAATGACTTTAAGCTCTTATACAGTTAACATTTTATTTACATCAAGTTCAGTGTATTTTAGATCAAGTCTATATAATAACACTATAAAAAAAAAAGTCTCTTAAAAATATGGCAAGCGATAAAATTATAGTTACATTTTAAAATTATAGCCGTTTGGGAACCATCGATTACACTCATGTTAATATTTTTGTATTGAATATAAGCCGTTGAAAATAATTTTAGAATTATTTTTTTATTAAACAAATATTTTCAAAAACTGCCCTCAACCCTTCCTTGAGTCAACCGGCCAGGGAAAGTAAAACAAAATCACAACAATTGTTTTCCATGGAAAAATACACAATAGCAGTCAATGGTGTATAGTCTAGTAGTTTATTTACATTAATATAACGTCCACTATCACCACAACACCCTGTCTCTACTAATCCAAATTAAAAATAAAAGTTGTTAGCTAAGTTACTATTAGATTATTTGTAATTATTTGTTTGACTATTTCTAGCCTTAGTAAAACCTGAAGTCATTTTGTGCCAATTTAACACGTTATAAAATATTCAATTTAGGTTGAAAAATATACTTTCTGGCAACAAATAATTAGAACCATTTGGAACCACTTTAAACCATTTGGAACCGGTTGGAACCAGCTTTACGAGCCTAGAAAATTAGGCCTACTAATGAGCTCTACTACATTTAGATTATAATGATATAATTAAAATTTAATTTAACCATAATTATTGTTCAGTCAAAGCATTTGTGACTAAATCGCTGTTTTCAAAATTATCTTCAGAATATTTAGAATATTGTCCATTGGCTTATGTTATATGAATTAAACAAAACTTATAAAGAAAGTAATTATTAAAAAAAAAATGCTTTCATTTGGATCATTATAACAGTAAACAATTTTAAGGCTATCTGTTTTTTTTTTCTTGTACATTTTAGACTAAAATAATCAGAGATGTGTGGAATAATGGTTATTTCCACTAATTAGATATCTAGACAATTAATTAGTTGTAATTAGCCGGTCCTCGCACATTTAATTTTCAGCTCCATTTAAAATATGCGTCATTAATTGAGAGTCAAAACATCAAATGTGTGAGGTTGTCGGCTTTAGATTCCCACTCTGTTGGGTGTGTGATCAAGTGTACACAGGTCACACAACACAACACAACTAAACACAACACTCACAACTAAACACATTAGGTATGCTCACTAGATCATCACTCATTAAATTAGGTCATCATTAATGAAATTATTCCGCGAATCGGGGCGGTAGTCTGGGCGGTGTGGTTTCATTATCAGAAATACATTGGGGCAAATTTTCTGTGGGTGTGGGTGTGTGGTGGGTGTGGGGGGATACTTTGCTTAACTGTCGTTCAAGCCGTACCACATACAGCAAGTCCGTCTGTCATAGAGAATCTGTCTGATGTTCGGTGTGTCAAAATGTTATTGATGTAATGTTGGACATGACAAAGTGTCATTTATAATGTCAATAAATGACATGTCCTTTTGTGTTGCTCTGACATTAGGAAAATGCCGAAACTTTATTGACATCTTGTTGTCACATGCGTCTAGTTGCTATATGTGCGTCTAGTTGCTATATGTGCGTCTAGTTGCTATATGTGCGTCTAGTTGCTATATGTGCGTCTAGTTGCTATATGTGCGTCTAGTGGCTATATGTGCGTCTAGTTGTTATATGTGCGTCTAGTTGCTATATGTGCGTCTAGTTGCTATATGTGCGTCTAGTGGCTATATGTGCGTCTAGTTGCTATATGTGCGTCTTGTACATATATGTGCGTAAAGTGTCATGTGCGTCTTAAAGATGTATGAACTCATAAAGTCACTTGCACATTGAAGCTTTGTAGTAGGCTGCTGATAAAATGTTGGGTATGATGATGTTGGGTATGATGATGTTGGGTATGATGAAGTTGGGTATGGTGATGTTGGGTATAATGTGTGTATAATGTATTGTGTGTATAACGTGTGTGCTGTGTAGCCTTCTGTACACGAGAGGTGTGTACCAATTGTGTAACGTGTGTGCTGTGTAGCCTTCTGTACACGAGAGGTGTGTACCAATTGTGTATCCTGTAAAAAAAAATAACAGTATGTTTGTTGGATCAAACAAACGACTGACCGCTGGACGACTGACCGCTGGACGACTGACTGTAGGACGACTGACCGCTGGACGACTGACCGCTGGACGACTGACTGTAGGACGACAGACTGTAGGACGACAGACCGCTGGACGACTGACCGCTGGACGACTGACTGTAGGACGACAGACTGTAGGACGACAGACCGCTGGACGACAGACCGCTGGACGACAGACTGTAGGACGACTGACTGTAGGACGACTGACTGTAGGACGACTGACTGTAGGACGACTGACTGTAGGACGACTGACTGTAGGACGACTGACTGTAGGACGACTGACTGTAGGACGACTGACTGTAGGACGACTGACTGTAGGACGACTGACTGTAGGACGACAGACCGCTGGACGACTGACCGCTGGACGACAGACTGTAGGACGACTGACTGTAGGACGACTGACTGTAGGACGACTGACTGTAGGACGACAGACCGCTGGACGACTGACCGCTGGACGACAGACTGTAGGACGACTGACTGTAGGACGACTGACTGTAGGACGACAGACTGTAGGACGACAGACCGCTGGACGACTGACCGCTGGACGACTGACTGTAGGACGACAGACTGTAGGACGACAGACCGCTGGACGACAGACCGCTGGACGACAGACTGTAGGACGACTGACTGTAGGACGACTGACTGTAGGACGACTGACTGTAGGACGACTGACTGTAGGACGACTGACTGTAGGACGACTGACTGTAGGACGACTGACTGTAGGACGACTGACTGTAGGACGACTGACTGTAGGACGACTGACTGTAGGACGACTGACTGTAGGACGACTGACTGTAGGACGACAGACCGCTGGACGACTGACCGCTGGACGACAGACTGTAGGACGACTGACTGTAGGACGACAGACTGTAGGACGACAGACCACTGGACGGCAGACTGTAGGACGACAGACTGTTGAACGACAGACTGTAGGACGACAGACTGTAGGACGACAGACTGTAGGACGACAGACTGTAGGACGACAGACCGCAAGACGTACGTGGACGTAGTGACGTATGACAGACGACAGCTTGCCGTGAGTTGGAACAAAATCGTTTGGCAAATGAAAAACTTTGGGAACACCTGCTGCATGGCTTGGTGTTTTCAGACGATCAAAGGCCGGCAACACCGTGGCTAGTTCGAAATGTTACAACCGTTTTCATTGAACAAGTTTTGTAGGCCTGGCGATGTTATAGACATTTTGATTGGGCAATATTTGTGTACCGTACATCGAGTGAAGACTGGTCAGGTCAGACTAGAGTCCAGTCGTCTTGCATTAATCTACCTAATTAGATAATTATCTCCACAAAGACTATTTCCAACTCGTGGAATATGAATATCGTGACGTAGCACCCCCACCATCTCATCCCCACCCCCGAGCACGTTTAACTAAATAGATTGCGCGTAATGGTGTCAATATTTCACCGCTAACTCGAATGTAGCGGCAATCAAAGCAACTCCTCGGGAGGTAGCACTTTCATCCGTCGTCTCCTGGACGGTCGCGAGCAATAAACCAACGACCTATCTCCTCATTAGCGCCTCACACGGGATGCTTTTCTAGACCGTCATTTGGAATCGATCGTTCGACGTCTTCTCATGGGGGGGGGGGGGGGGTGGTGCCCGGGGGGAGACAACACGAGCAAAGAAAAATAATAACACTCAGGACTCCCGCTCAAAAGATGCGCGCGCATGTAACACGCACGAGCTCTGGTAAACATGGCGGACAATGGGCAGCGCCATCTCCATTAGATCTCCGTGCCCGATAGTGGGGGTGGGGGGTCGTCTCTCCGTGCCCGATAGTGGGGGTGGGGTGGGGGGGTCGTCTCTCCGTGCCCGATAGTGGGGGTGGGGGGGGGGTCGTCTCTCTGTGAAAATATAGGGCTTCAGCAGAGATGATACCCAAGATGCGTAAATTGGTGCGTAAATTGATGCGTAAATTGCAGATCAGTAAATTGTTTCCTAATACGAGACACACACGCTGCCATATCTCATTAAAATACAACAAAAAATTACATTTTATAACAAGATGTATTAACGGTGGGAGAATATTAATTAATTCTAATTAATTAATTCTAATTATATACTTAGTGTGTTTGTGTGTTTGCAAATTTTAAAGAGCACTTTTGTCTCGCTAAAAAAATAGATTTAAAAAATACTTTTAATTTCAACTTTAAAACAATTAAAATAACACCAACAGCATTTGGATGGTTTACAAAGACTAAACAGGAAAAAACACCAAAAGGGTATAAAATTGTACCCAGCTCAAAGTCAAGGTGCTCTTTGAACCATTTGTTACAATATGCACACATTTGTTATGTTATCACAAAGTAGTTACACAAATGTGCTATTTGCGTCTACCCGAATAAGAAAAAGGAAAAAAATAATTAACAATAGATTTGAAAAGCTGGTTCCAAATGATTACAAATTTTTGTTGGATACACGTCTCATAATGTTTTTATGTTTTAACATTTTATTATTATTTTATTCTGCAGCTTTGTTAGATGTATGTTTTATTACTATGTGATAATCTAAAAATACTTTATGTGTTGCAAATGTGCTGAGATATATAATATACAACAATTGAGGCATTATTTATTAAAACTAGATCACCAAACAGATGAGTTACCGTTTTTACCTGCTTGTTTTAGGTTCTGATGTTAATAGGCTGCTGTCGAGGTGAGGTAGTTATACAAGCTTCACAAGGATAGGACATTTTATTGAAACATCATTTATTTAAAAGTATCACAAACATATTACATTTTATTGAAACATCATCTATTTAAAAGTATCACAAACATATTACATTTTATTGAAACATCATCTATTTAAAAGTATCACAAACATATTACATTTTATTGAAACATCATTTATTTAAAAGTATCACAAACATATTACATTTTATTAAAACATCATTTGTTTAAAAAGTATCACAAACATATTACATTTTATTGAAACATCATTTGTTTAAAAAGTATCACAAACATATTACATTTTATTGAAACATCATTTATTTAAAAGTAACACAAACATATTACATTTTATTGAAACATCATTTGTTTAAAAAGTATCACAACCATATTACATTTTATTGAAACATCATTTAAAAGTATCACAAACATACTACATTTTTATTGAAACATCATTTATTTAAAAGTATCGCAAACGTATTACATTTTATAGAAACATCATTTAAAAGTATCACAAACATATTACATTTCATAGAAACATCATGGAATATGATATCAAGTAGAAGAAGAAAATGATGTAAACGATTTTAAATATTGAACCATGCATGTCGTCCGTTAGGCGTTAGATAATTTCCTGACATGTTGAAAAGGATGAGCTATATTTAATATTCAAATGTTTACATGTTAAAGGTCAAAGGTTACCGGTCTCACTATGATAATATTACACAGTAGTGCCACATTTAACCGGTCATATCAACTTTATGATATTTTATTTACATACGGCTTCAACATTCTATTAGAAAACAGCGAAATACCAACTAAAGGTAATTCTATTAATTGGAAGCTAATGTAATAATATTTCGGCTGTTTGTATGAAGCTGGAAAAAAAAAGCTATTAAAATAAATCAAAGTGTTTCGCTTGTACCAGTCAATATAGGGTACTCAACTTTCTCATGATGATACCATTACGTTTTATCATTAAAAAAACATACCTAAAATACAGAGAACCTAACAAGGCTGTCACACGGCTGTAACACGGCTGTATCAGGCTGTAACACAGCTTTAGGTTCATTGTCGTCATTTAGTGTGAGGAAGTAATATGTGGGAGAGTTTTTGTGTGGGATTGTGTGGGGCGTTGGTGTGGGGTGGGTGTTTGTGGGTGTGTTTGTGGGTGTTTGTTGGTGTTTATGTGTGTTAGTGTGTGTGATTGTCTGTGATTGTGTGTTTACGTGTGTAAGTGATTGTATGTTTGTGTGTGTATGTTTGTGTGTGTGTGAACGTGTTGAGTGTGGATGAGTGCGTGTGATCGGATGTGTGTAAGTGTGTGTGTGTTGATGACTTCGAGTATGTGTAAGCGTCTAAGCGAATATGTGTGCATATGTAGTTGTTCTTCTACATGTATGAATTTCTGTGTGGGTGTATGTCAGCTAACCAAAATTCGCAATTTATCATTAGTTTCAGGGGCTTATATGTTAAAATTAATTAAAATTAATTATAATTATTTAAAATTAATCTACTGCGATGTGTAGTAGACCATCAGAAAACCAACATTGAGTTTGGCTCGGTTCTAGAAGATTCTCTGGTTTTTCTCGAGGTTCCGTCTAGCTTGCATGTGCCGACATTAGTAATCGTTTGATAAATTGATATTTTTAAAAATGTTCAGTTGTTAAACTTTGACATTTGATCTGTCTAAATATTTTCTTGCACGGTTCCTGTCCACAGCTCAGCGAGATCGGCATGTGTACATTTGGTTGCAGATATCAGAAATATTCTCAGGTTAAGGGCTTATAACTAATCTCAAGAATAATAGCACTAATATCTTACAAAAATCCCAAACTTATCCCATAAATATTCTACGAATATCCTACAAATATCTCACAAATACCCCAGAAATATCCTACAAATATTCCAGAAATATCCTACAAATATCCCACAAATATCCTAAAAATATCCCAGAAATATCCCACAAATATCCTAAAAATATCATACAAATATCGCACAAATATCCTACAAATATCGTACAAATACCTTACAAATATCCTACAATATCTCAGATATATCCTACAAATATCCTACAAATATCCCACAAATATCCTAAAATATCACAGAAATATCCCACAAATATCCTAAAAATATAATACAAATATCGCACAAATATCTTAAAATATCCTACAATATCCCAGATATATCCTACAAATATCCTACAAATATCCCACAAATATACTAGAAATATCTCACACATAAGCAACAAACATGGTATCTATATCCATTAATAACCCTTTAAATGGTCGGGGAAAATGTATTTATCGAAATCAAAGAAAGTAAATTTTTCAGAAAAATAAAAATAAAATTGTTCAAAAGAAATAATTTTTTTTTAAATGTTAAAACACTTTAGTAAAACAAAACAAAACCAAATAATTTTAAACTGAATTTTTTAAAAATTAACAATTGAAGATTAAAAGTTCATGTAGACAAATAAAATGGATGCCTAAAATAGAAAATCTATTTAAAATGTTAAAAACTCAAAAGCTAGATCTAAATGTCAATATTTAGAAAAGTGTTCCAAATTAAACACAAACACATAGGGGAGGGAGGGGGTGGGTACTTATTTAATGACTTGATGAACAGTCTGTCAGTGGTACAGTGTGTTTGTCTGTGTGTGCGTTTGTGTGTGTCTCTATGTGTTTGTATATGTGTCTTTAAATTTCATGTGTGCACGTGTGTCGCTGTGTGTATGTGTGTGTCTGTGTGTCTATGTGTCTGTGTGAGTGTGTGTTCGAGCGTGTGCTACTTTGGTGCGCCTACATCTCATGTGTCTGCCAAATCTTGTCTTGACAGCTCTAGAATTCGTCTTGTCAACAATGGCGCGGTCTAGGAAAGTTGACACATAGATAGTGTCCATGTTTTGACCAATTAATGTGGCCCATGTTTTGACCAATTAATGCGGCCCATGTTTTGACCAATTAATATTGTCCATGTTTTGACCAATTAATGCGGCCCATGTTTTGACCAATTAATATTGTCCATGTTTGGACCAATTAATGCGGCCCATGTTTTGACCAATTAATATTGTCCATGTTTTGACCAATTAATATTGTCCATGTTTTGACCAATTAATATTGTCCATGTTTTGACCAATTAATGCGGCCCATGTTTTGACCAATTAATATTGTCCATGTTTTGACCAATTAATATTGTCCATGTTTGGACCAATTAATATTGTCCATGTTTGGACCAATTAATATTGTCCATGTTTGGACCAATTAATATTGCCCATGTTTGGAA